AGTAGAAGTGGAACTCTGGGGTATGGTTTAGTGGGTGTTGTGGTCTTTGGTCAGAGGTTGGATTGATGACTCTGGAGGCCTTTTCTAACCTCAGTGGTTTTGTGATTCTAAGACAAAACTTTCAGATCCAGATCTAGAATTATTGGCTCCTTACTGATTCCTCCTGTGTCTGAGACAATACTTGTGGCAAAATGGTATCCAAATGCAAGTAAATCCTCCTTGAAATTTCCTCCCTCTCTCCCTGCTTTAGAGGGGATGATAAACACACTTCACTCTTTATCTTTTACACCTGTGTTTCATTGCTAAAATTGCTGCTGGTTGTGTAGATGTTCCCTTTGTTCCAGAGTAATTGCCTGTTGTACACAAGAGCAGAAAGAAAAAATAAAAAAGCAAGAGGAGGCTGCAAGAGAAACTCTGCCACATTTATTGTCATTTCATGGGATCCTAACCAAAAAAAAACAGCCTTCACAAAGCTATTAATTTGCTCAATTATGTCTGATAGATGTTATGTCCTTCATTCCCAGGAATCCATCTCTTTCCTCAAAGCTTGTCAACGAGTCCCTGAGTGACACTACAACCTTCACCAGCGACAGATCTCGGGGCTTCATTATGGAAGATTTTTATATTGTTCAGTGATTTGTGTGTCAGTAGGTGCTACACACTCACAAATCTGCATGCAGAGACAAGAGAAAGAAAGAGAGTGTGACAGTTTGGTTTCTCCAGCATTTTCTGCCGTGGAGTAATCGAACGTGCTGTTCAATCCTCGCAGAAAGAGAGGTTTGGAAACACAGCCTGTCCTCAGCAGCTCAGCCCAATCAGACCCAAAGTGCTCATTAGCTGAGGTACTTCATGACAAATCACCTACCTGCTACGGGAAGAGGATCCTCTCAAACCAATTGCACCCATGAAATGGTCTCGAGTTAAATAAGATCGTTGCAGCTAAATGATGAGTGAGGGAAGGAGAAATTAACAGGCGGGAGATGAGCTGTTTTCAACTTCTGTTTGAAATGAGTCAGAACAAATGGGACACAAGGATAGAGTCAGAGTTGTAGGGATGACACTGGCAGCTGAAATAGCCCAGGAAATGCCTGATAATAATGAAAGAGAGGACAATTGTGGCAGAGGCTGGTCTGCCTCTACGGTGGGTTTTATAACACAGAAGGGTCATTTTAAACTAGAAGGTGTCTTGAATGAGAGAGTTAAGAGGAAATGTCTAAGGCAGAGGAGAGAGTGGACTTTGTCTTTTACCTGTGTGGAAAGTGGCAATAGCATCTGTGCTTACCCTTGATGAACTGCAATAGCAAAAGATGGTGGTAGCGGTAATGAAGACCAGAGGAGGACTAATTAAATTCAATTTATTATTATTACTCTCTATTTCTCTGTGTTCCACGCTGATTATTACATATCTGTTTCATAACTAGGCTCCTCCTGCTGTGCTGCTTCCTAGGCTGCACTGACAAGCATTTGGAGCATCCAGGATGCACCAGGTAAAACCACTTTGTTTGGGGTAAACATTCAGATTGGAAATTAGCTGCTGATTCCTGCAAACAGAAACCTGACAGTTAATCCACAGGGAACTTCCCAAATCCTAAGTGAACTTTGAAATCAGAAGGAAACAAAGTTTAAAGTCTCTAGTTGGGGCACACAGCTGAGGATAAAGGTGAGTTTGTATTGCAGAGGAGGTGGAGGGTATTTGATGGGTGATCTCACACTGGGAGAGGTCGAAGCCTGTCCTACAGAGATCCCAACAGGTCCTATCAGTCCCCAGAGCAGGAATCAGTGAGGTCCTGGAGCATTACACAACACACAGGAAGGGCAACTACCTGGTCCTGGAGCATTACACAACAAATTCTATTTAAAAAGCAACATTCTTAAATGAAGGAGAAAGACTCCACTGGATTCAATAAATCTGCTCCACTTTACCAACCTACGATTCAGCCTGACTTTCTGCTGTGACCTACCATTATCTTTCTACTTCACTACTCTTTATTACTTGATTCATTCCCTGTAGACACCAACACAGAAGTTCTAAAGGAAGGGGTGAGTGTGATTTATGCAGCGAGTTGATGTATGAGTTCACAGAAGGGCTGGGATTAATTTAATTTCACTTTTAGGATCTGACACAGGTGTCCCACCTGAGTCTCTTGCCTCCCATTGAAGACACTGGAGGTATAGAAAATGCAGTTAATGGAACTCAGTGAGTCATCTGGCCAAATATGGGTGCCTATTTTGGGATGGGAAATCACACCCTAAGCTCCATTGACTCTGCTGACTCAGCCTCCATTGACTGTGAGCAGAATCCAAGGCAGCTTGCCCAGATTCTGACACCCACAGATAATCACAGCTGATGAGACAACTCCCACCAAATGTGCTCCAGGTGAAGAGCACGACCTGCCAGGTGTCAGGTGAAGGGGCTACATGGGACAGAGGGACAAAAGTGGTCCTTCCTCAGAGTGTGGGATAGGGAGAAGTTTTGTTGGCTTGGGAATGAAAAGGAAGGGATGGGAAAGATTTAGCTGTTGAATATTTTTGCAATGTGCTGATCATTAAGAGGCTGATTCTCAGAAGTGCTGAGCAGCCATGACGCCCACTGAAGACAATGGGAGCTCAGCACTTCTGAAAATCAGCCTCTTGATGCCTACATTGAATGTAATCTTTAATATTTAAAGGAATAAAAGGGTCTGGGGGACGGGTATGCAGGAAAGTAAATGAGCTTCCTCCTCAGATGCTTTGCAAAGCCCTTTCCATCATTATTATTAATGCTTGCAGACATTATGTTCTAAGGAGCACTACAGCTGGAGCATTACATGGGAAGGAAGATTACAGAAGGTTGGGAAAACTGGCTGCTGTGTTCCAAGGCTGATCCAAAGATTAATAAAGTCTAAAAGAAAACACCTACTGGAGTGACAGTCAGAAGAGAGGTTTTATCTGGTTGGAAAGAGGTTCACGGTGGTCCATCTCTGTCAAGGCACTGGGGCTCACTGTCCCCTCGGGGTGAAGCTGTGTCACCTGGCTGAGCTAATCTAAAAACACATCTCTCAGGAAATGTGTCTTGTTCCATGACTCCTGTCCCTCCTCACCCACCCAAAGTGCCAGTGTGTGCCAGCTCCAGTCCTGGACAGAGAACTGCAGCTCCTTTCTGCTTTTGAGGAATTTCCCTGCTAGGTGAATCAGCTGAACTGGTTCTCTGCAGCGCTGGGCAGACACCAGAGCCAGTACAATCCAGCACAATATTTTGGGAAAAGGGAAATGTGTCCTCACCCTTTTACAGATGGTAACGTGGTCACCTTGAGGCACTTTGTCACATGAAGCTAAACCCTGCTGTGCTTACCTGGAAGGAGTTTGGGGTGAGGGGAGAGTTTCTCCCTTCTGACATGTCTCAGATGAAAGAGAAAATGGTATTAAGTTGTGCCAGGGGAGGTTTAGATTAATTTCATTTATTTTTTCCACTGAAAGAGTGACTGGGCATTGGAATGAATTGCTGAGGGAGGTGGTGGAGTCACTGCCTCTGAAGCATTCAAGAGGTATCAGGATGTGGCACTAGGGGTAGAGTTTAGGGCTGATTATGGTGGTGCTACACTGATGGTTGGACTCAATGACCTTGAAGGTCTCTTCCAACCTTGTCGATTCTGTGATTGGCACATGCTCTGAAAGAATTCATGAAAACACCACATGGTGGTAGGGAAAACAATACATTTCTTTCTGGTTTATTACTTTCCTTGTGAAAACTCACCTGGATTATTTTCCCAGCATGGTTTTTGGTGTGAGCAAAGAGCAACTGTTGCAGCACAATAGGGATGAGGCTACTTTGCCACTTAATTGCTTATTTCAATGACCAAGGACACACAGGAGCCCTGGTGAATTCCATTTCCAGGGAGAGAAAGCAACTCCTGAGCCTCATCTCTACCATCAGAAAGATAACGATGCTTCTGGAAATCAGAAGTAAAATAGTGATGATTAATTAATAAGGGTGCAGAGAGACCTGAGGAACCCCAGGGACATTTTGCTTGTCTCGGAGAGGATGGTAACCTGTGAGAAGATGCTGACAGAGTTATTCTTGCTGCAGGAGACTGGATGGAGGCTGTGTCACAAGAAGAGTGGGTTTGAAGTATTTCATGATGGCAGAGATGTTTGAATCAGTTGGGTCTTGAAGATTTTGCAGGAAACCAGCTAAAGCAAACTGAGTCATTAGTGATTATCTTCAAGGGTTTGTGGAGGATTGAAGAGGGACAAATATAGAACTTGCCTGCAAAAAACAGAGCTGATGACTGAGAAATTACAGACTGCTAGGCCTAACTTCAATTTGTGGGCAGATGATAGAAGAAATTATTAAGCAATCATCTGCACATACTGAGAAGATAATCACCTTCTTAAAGACAAATAAATAAAATGCAAATTCACTATAGGAAATTATTCCAAATAACCTAATTTAATTCCTCACTTAGAAAAAAACAGATGAGAGAAAGATGGCAAAATAAGATGCTGTATGAGGCTAGGAAAAGTTTTTAACAGAAAGGTTAGGAAGAGCCATTGTAGTGAGGAAGGGATAATTGGCAAATCACTTTTGAAGAGTAATTGTCAGAAGCTTCTTAGCATCAGAATAGAAGGGGATCTTAAATGAGATATCTTGGTGATGTTTCTTAGACCTGCTTCTATTTCAAATACAACCACTGACTTGTTTTAGTAAAAGAAAGTAGAACTAAATTCTTGTGAATATCAGCAGGGTGGGGTATATGTAGAAGCATTTCAGTGAACAGAGGTGGGATCTAAAATGGTCTTGAAAACATTTGAGAAGTGAATTGAGGAGGAAAAAAGTTAATTTGTAGACATACAATATGCTATGCCAAGGATTAAGAAGTTAAATCATAGAACCATAAAATGGCTTGGATTAATGACCATCCAGTTCCAACCCCCTGCCATGGGCAGGGACACCTTCCACCAGACCAGGTTACTGCAAGACCCATCCAACCTGGCACTGAATACTCTCAGGGATGGGGCATCAACATCTTCACAGCTTTTCTGGGCAAAAAGCACAAATGTAAAAACATTTGGCAGGATATCAGACACAATTCTGGTGCTGAAAGGGGATCCTGATCTCCCTATAAAGCAGTGGTGGGATGTTGTACGGGAAGAGTAGAGCTCCTTTGGGAATGTCTTGATGGGACCATTATCAGGCAGAGCAGAATTGTCAAGGGAACTCAGTGCCAGCAGGGTCAAGAGCTGCAGCTGATCATGGACACTGCACTTCACAAATGGTAGATATCACCTGGAAACAGTCCTGGTGGAGCAACCAGAATTACAAAAGGGTTTGAACACTTGTCATGTTGGGAGAAATTGGGTAAATAACCCTCTTCTGTTTCAGCTGCAAACACTGCAAACACTTCCCCACCTCTCAGACAGTTCTCTGATTCTCAAAGCAATGCTCTGATTCCACACTTGATGTTTTGACCATCCTGACATCTTCCTAAAGACCTTCCTCAGAATACCCAGGCAGAATTCCTTCTTGCTGCTTTCTAAGGAGGTCTGCATTCCCTGCTTCTCCTCACTCATCTGCCAGTGCCTCACTCAATTTTGGATGCCCTCTGCTCTGTTCCTCATAGGATGAGTCCCTTCTGCCCAGCTGATACCCTGATCTCCTCAGGGGATTCCTCTTCTGTGTTTCTCATTGGTCTGGCTGAAGAGAGAATGAGAATCACACTTCCTAACTTCAGGAATTAAAATCTAACATCTTAATTAGATCTACATTTACCAAGTAAATCCTTCTCAGTCCTTAGCAGTTAAAAGAAAGGGAATAATTACTGTCTTCTGCAGGGCCAGGAGCTGGGCTTTGATGATCCTAGTGAGCCTCTTCCAGTTCAGGATATTTCAGTAATTCCATGACATTCCAGTAGATGATCTGATACTTCAGAGGCCCAAGACCTAATTTGGGCAACTCAATTAAATGCATAAAGTCAAATGCTGTAACTCCACCCCAAAATGCCTTAAGTCATCCACGTGGACTTTACCCTTCAGTGGAAACTTCCGAAATGTTCTTTTTCTTTGCAAGGATGCATGTAAGAAATCTAGAATGTCATCACACATATCAACATGTTTCCAACTCTTTCAAAAAAAACCCAATAAAATACATAAAATTTTCCTACCCTAACATCCTTTTTTTTTTTTTTTTTTCATTTAAATAATAGGACCTCCTCAAGATAGGGAGTTTTCAAGAATGGACACCTCACAAGCACTACAGAAATGTTTAATAAGTAATACATTTCAAAATTTCCCATTTCTCCCTTATCTTCAGCATTCTTGTCCATGTAATAATATAAACTGTCTATTATTACATTCCTCCTCCCTCTAAAAGCTTATTTTTCCTTACAAACCCAGAATATATGTAACCTGACACATATTTCCAACATTTCCAGAATAACCACTGCAACTCACTGTAAACCCAACCCTTTAAGATAACCCCCTGCTAATCAACCATGAGCTTCTCTATTTCAGAAAATACTCTCCAAAAGCATCACGCATTAATATTAAAGAAATGTATTTTCAACCCAAAATTTTGACTAAGTGCAGTGAAAAGAAATTAACTGCAGGCAACACCTCTTCATAGGTGAACTTTTCATCCTCAGCAAGAAATGCAGCCCTGTGGACAGGGAGAAGTCAGGTTTCCAGCTCAGTTCTGCAAATGATTTAATGTCCAGTCTCTTGGTTAATTCAGTTATAAACTCTGCTTATTTCCTGCTGTGTAAATCAGAAGGGATATGAACTTAAAATCTCATCAGAAGTGGAAAGTTCTCCATGGTAAAGGAATTAATATTTCCACACTGGCACAACTCATTCAGTTTTCTGTTTAAACTATTATTGTCTGGGTCTGAGTTAGAAGCCAGTCGAGAAGTCACAAGAATTAATAATAATTCTTCATAGAGTTGTAAATCAGAAAATTCAGCACTGGAATGTAAAAGATCTGATTCTGAAATAAAATGGTTGCAATACAAAACTCAGAAAAGTTATGAAAAGTAAACAAACAGTGACAGCTAAGCATGTAACCTAGATTTTCCTAAAATTTATTCATGAATGTAGGAACATAAATTGTAACTAAATTGCATTTTGTACCAAATTGTCATTTGGCATCTTTTCTCTGGAGGACTTATTTCCCATGCCAGTCTGTTCTGTAGGGTTTGATCAATAAAAATCCCCAGATAATTTGCAAATGGGGGAAAAAAAGAAAAAAGAAAAAAGAATGTGTTATACATCAGAGGATAGGAAATGAAGAAAATTCATCAGGTGAACTACAGGGCACATGACAAAAACTGTGACTGGCAATAGTAGGGACAATAAATAAGAATTTTTCAGATATGAGAAAAAAGACAAACCAAAACCATCTTTAGCTAGAATTTATTACTGCAGGTGAAATGCAAGAGTATGAATAATGAAACTTAAGAATTAAAAAAAGAAAGGTGAATGAATTCAGTGACACTTAGGTCCAGTCTTTGTGAAGAAGCCAGGTGATGTAGAAAGATCAAAAAGAGGGGTGGCCCACGTAATTATAGGTCTTGTCAATCTAGAATTGATCTCAGTCAAAATAGTGGAGCAACTGATATAGGACTCTATTAATAAAAAATTAAAGAAAATTAATATAAATTAATATAAATCATCAGTGGCTTTTGGAGAAGACACCTGATAAAATAAATGTTATGTCCCTGTTGGTAAGGATATAGAACAGGTTGGTTTGATGAAGCTAATTATGCAAAATTAATGTCTGGACTAGTGCAATGAATCCCCAGGACTCAAATGTTACCAAACAAAAGATGGCCAAGCACTCTGGTGTCTGGCTGTCCCAGTAAGCAGGAAAATATCCCACAAGGAAGTGTTGATATGGTTTTCCTTCAGACAAGTATTTGTAATGGCAACATGACAAATCTATCACATTAGACAGATTATTGTAGGATCCTTGTTACTGAGGTATCAGAGCATGACCGTAAGATCAAGGCAGTCAATGGGGACATCCAGACAGGGATTAAAAAAGGATTTGAGATCCTGGAATGTGGGACTCCCAAGCAAGAATAAGGGCTCATTTTCAGCACTCATTACTGAAGTGCTGAGATCCACATCTGGGATCCACAAGCTATGAAAGATCTTGAAAAATAGGAAAGCAAAATTCACTAAGTGTTAAAAACTAAACAGTCCTACCCTCAAAGGAAAGAAACAGAAAAGCCAAGCAAACAAAGAAACAAATAGAAACCTAAAGCCCACATCAAGAGAATGGGATCAGGAAATTGTATGAACTGTCCTTATCAAAGAGAAATGTCAGTCTCTCATGGCACCAGCATGGGGCTGTTTGGGAAATAGGATTTTGTTAATGAGGGCTTTGATATATGATGTAAGGGAAAAGTAAAATTCCATGGTAGGACTCATTAGATGAACAAATTCACTTTGGGAATCCGGTGTGGGCTGTGAGCACTGAAGGGAATTCCCATCAGAGACGCAGAATGCAGGTTATGGTCAGGCCTCTCATCATTCAAAATTTCACACTGTAATTCCTCCCTCTACCTCTTCTTTTGTCTCTGAGGCAAACTAGTGGAAGTCAGATTTGGATGAAGTTCACTGGCTAATGGTCACTTTATGTGATCACAGCAGTTCCTTCTGCTTTCATCATTTAGGATTTCATGACTGAATCTGGTAACTGATAAAAGCTTCTTGGTACTTCAATGCCTTTGCTCCTCCTGCAATGTGCTCACATAGTGTAACATGTGTTCACTGGGTGCACAACAGAGTATTGTGGTTATTAAAAAGCAAAATTAAAGGAGGAAGCCAAACAGACCTTCCCAGGCTGTATTTGCTTCACACTGATGTGTGTTTTTCATCCCATAAATTTGTTATGGCTTCAGCTCCCAAGCTTGAGTGAACATTCATCTTTTCTCCTTTATATATACACCCAAACAAAGCTAAGCTGTGGGCTGGCAGTAAAGAAATGAGACTCACATTATTGGCTTTGCATTAGGTTTGTTTATAAAAGACAAGGCATATTAATCATAGATATCTACACTGGGAGAAGCATGCAGCAATGCAGGAAATGTATTCATTCCAGAAAAGCAGGATGTCAAGCAGACCAGGAGGTGCTGTGGATTGATGCACTGGCTTCTCTCTCGTAAAGAAAACTAAACAAGATTTTGCTCCAGCACAACACAAATTAACCCTGACCATTTCTGGCTCTCTGAAGGGCTTTTTAAAACAGGCTTTTTTCCTTGGAGCTGTCAATTTGTTTGCACTGCTGTGACAGTCAGTGAGGTGATGTTTAAGCAAGGGTTTGCTCCAAAACATGGTCCTTGTCATGCTCCCACAGAACAGGGGATGAGGCAATCCCCATGTGGATGAGGTAATTGGCTACAGAAGGGACAGGCTGGAGAGCCCATTTGCTTGAATTCTGGTTGCTTCAAATTTGAATGCTAATTCTGCTTTTAATTTTATAATGCCATGCAAAAATCAGTGATATTCCACAGGAGAATATCTGCTGAGTGGCAGGAGCATCCCTTTAAGATGGAAACTTGCCTTAAAACCAAGGGTAAGGGAACCTTATCCTATTCTGCATATAAATGTTCAGGTAAAATTACTGGACAAAAGTGTTTTGATAATGGGAAATATTCCAGATGTGTCTGCACACAATTCTGTGCCCTGTGCTCTGGGATGGTCCTGCTTGAGCAGGGAGGTGGGACCAGATGATTCACTGTAGTCCCTTCCAACCTGTCCCATTCTGTGATTCTGTAATTCAAAATGATGAATTCACTTCTACTAAAAGGCAGCACAATTTGTGTAACCACATATTGAAGGAAAGAAATGGATCCTGTCCAAAGGAACTTTTTAAAAACATCAGCCACTGGGGACAAGTTCAGTTCCTAAAAGTGTCACAGAGCTATGCAGGAAATTTGGATATATGGTCCCAAAGAGAAATTTGACCATGATTTATTTGTGGTGACTTGTTCCTTAATTGCTTCTCCTCAAATTTCTGCTTGGAAATATCACCAAAATCTTTTAGAGACTCTCAGCTAGTTGCACAAACAACTTTCAAATGGGTGAAAAGACAGGACACGTAGTCCTAGTTTCAGTGCTAAAATAGGAGCTCCTTTCCTGTGCTGGTGTGGCATGGTGATAGACCATAAATCCTGGATTTCTCTCTGGCATTGCATGACTGAGAAAAACAGGATTGATGAAATCCCGGGAGGAAACTGAGCTCAATTGGTTTTCATGTGTTCAGTGACCCTGGAGTTGTTAAGAAACAGCTGTTGACAGTGAAAATAACACCAGAATGGCCACGTGAGTGTCTTGCACAGTGGTGACCTTGAGAAGCCACTCACAGGAATGTTAAGAGGAACGTCAAAGGCATCACAGAGTGATGTCCAGAGGCAGGAGATCCAGAACAGATCCACACAACTGGGATATTTCAACCAGAGGAGACAAAAAAGAATTTCTAGGGTTGGAAATAAACCACACTACACAAAAGAAAGTAGCAGAGGCTTCCACATTTGTCTCTTTGTATAAATATAATTAAGCAGCACAAGAAGATGACTTCCAGTGGACTGTGGCCCTCAGAAGTCAGCAGATGCCACGAAGAAATGGTGTTGGTAGAGAAGCAAAGTGATGTAGAATTAATGAGCAATGGATTTTATTCTCCAGACAAAATTCTTGCTCAGTCTGAATGGGAACAAATGACTGGGAGCCTGTGAACATCTATCTCTATTTATTTAGTTCAGATCAGCCAGGATCTTATCTAGTCATGACTCCAAAGGTCTCTGGAGGATTTCTCTCTTTCTTTACAAAACTACTACACTCACAGGAAATGGAGGTTTTGACTGGTCACACAGTCTTGAATGTGACAGATAGTAAAGACTATTTCCTTGGCTATGACATAGAATCAAAAAGGGGTTGAAAAAGTGAATTAACTTAACCTTCAAGGAGAAGATGTGTTGCCCTGTAGAAAACCACAACATGCCCTCTGTTTTCTGATATTAATCTTTCTTGCGAGAACGTTCTATGGAAAACCTGACCTGGCAGCCTCTGCAGTTCCAGTGGAATGTGAGTTCTTCCCACAGAATCTCTTCTGTAACACAAGCAAAGCAGAAGAGTCCATAGGAAAAGAAGGAAAATGCTAAAATCCTCCCCACTGACAGAGAGATTCCACAAAATCACAGAATGTTTGAAGTTACAAGGGACCTTTGGAGGTCACCTGGTTAAAGGCCCAAGCAGGACCATCCAGAGCCACTCACTCAGGCCCATGTACAGGATTTAACACTTCTTGTTCAGGTTCATGAGGTTGCTGTCAGCCTATCTTCACCATCTTTGCTTTCTGCTCGTGTAGATTAAAAAAAAAACAAAAACAAAGAATTCATTATCCATCACTCCAGGTCGCTGTGCAGGACACGTGGCAGTTTGACTTCTCACATATAGCAGTGATGTCACAGATCAGAGAATCATAGAATGGCTCCCATCACCTTGGACTGGCTCCAACAGCTCCAGGTCCCTCCTGTGCTGGGTCCCCAGAGCTGGAGGCAGCTCTGCAGGTGGGGTCTCACCTGAGCAGAGCAGAGACACAACCTGAGATACCCCAACATGAAACCTCTGTCCATACCAATGTCCTGTCCCTCTCCAAGCTGAAACGAGAGTGATTCTTGGCATTGTCCTGTGCAGGGCCAGCAGCTGGACTCGATGGTCCTTGTGGAAGGATTGTGATCCCTTCCAGCTCAGCATTTTCTGTGATTCTACCCTGCTTCTCCTCCATCATCCTCTGGCTCCAGCCTCTGGAAGTCACTTTAGTATTTTCTTGACCCAGAGACCCACATGAACAAACATCTCAGCACACACGGCCTGACAGCCACCTCAGCAGGCCCAGCCACAGAACAGGGTGGTGGAACAACCAGAAGAATGAGTCACCCCCTTCTCCTTCACACCCCGTGTCATCAGCAGCAGCTGCAGCCCAATTCAGCTCAATGGTTTACAGGTGTCTCCAGGAACAACTGTCGTAAAAAGCTCCTAAAATATGCACTTTTTTATTTCTTGTTTTTCCTTTTTTTTTTATTTTTTTATTTTTTTTTTACCACTCTTAAAATCTTGTACAGCAACAGTTACCCAATGAAAGCAGGAATTAACGGAAACTAAAGGAAATGAGAGACACTGAAGGAAAAACAAACATAATCAGCAACAGCTGCAGCTCAATTAAACAACCGCTCAGAGAAAACTACTCATTCACAATTTACTCACAGAAATCCACTTTCTTACATTCTCTTCAGGATTTCAGAAGCACTCTAAGACTCCTTACGAAGTAATTTAAGGCCCTCCAAACTGCAGAGGCAAATGGCACCTGCTTCACTGGCCACCCTCAAGGAAGCTGCTGAGAGCTGAGGCCAAGAAGTGATGTCCCACTTGTGCCTTAGGGAAGAGGTTCCAAGCCTGCACTCACAAGGACAGAAAGAAAGAAACCTGAGAGAGTAAGAGAATTCTGTCTGTACTTCTTAAGGGGGTGTTTACAAGTTGAATTCACTTTTTAATGGTCAGATCTGCTGTCAATTCTTGGAAGTGACTGATAATTGGTCAGGAGGAAAAACTCCCATCAGCCACTAGCAGCTTCAACTTCCCCTCTTTTTAAGCTGTCTTAAAGGTAAAGCTACTCCATGACATTGGATCTGCCTGCAGCCTTCTCTTTGTGATTTGGTTGGTTGGGGTTTTTGGTTGTTTTTTTTTTGCAAGAGCATGCAGTCACCATTTTTCTTCACCCACTTGTTCTTATCTCATGCCCTCATTGTCTGAGATGATCCCAATGTTTTCAATTTATACAGGAAATGTACTATGAGCCCAGTGCAGGCACAGCTGGTGTCAAATGCCCCAGGAACATGATTTAAGATTGAAATACTTTACCTTCAGACTATGAAATTGAAATGCTGATCCCTCTTCCCAAGAGACACAGGCCCTCTCTTCATGTACTTGTGTCATCCCAGTAGGAATCAGCTTTTATTCCAGCATGAGCAGGAATGAGCTGTGCAAGCAGCAGTGAGCAAAACTCTCAAACTGGAGAAGGGATCAAGTACAATATTGCACCTTCTTATTTTAAACCCAGCTCCAACTGTGACTAAACAGTGTCCTGAAAACACTTCTCATATTGCCCTCTGTGGGAGAGTGGGTGATCCAGTGTGACCAAAGCAGACTGTTGGAATCTTTCATTCCAGCATTCCAGGACTTCTTTTTTCTTTTTTTTCCCCTCTTTTTCTTTTTTTTTTTTTTTCTGCACTGTCCCATGGTTTGCAATTGCACAATTTCAGAAAGACATGGATGAAAACAAAGTTCCTCCCAATATTTTTCAAACATCAGCAGGATACACTTAATTTTAGGGGTTTTTTTAAAAAAATAAAATCTTATCTTGAGTTTTAAAGGATGGATAGGTAATATAAAGAGGTAAAGGGAGAAATTATCTTGTCTAAAATCTTGTTTTTACTGAAATACCTGTCAAGGCTCACAATACGATTTGTGTGTTTGGAGAAAAGTGGATATCACTAAACCACTGACATGCTCTTAAAGTGCAGCCTGGGAAGACCAAGACTCACTGGCATTTCCAAGGTGGTACTTATCTACCAAGCCTTCATTTCCAGTGGCTGGACACTGGATACTATACTTTCTTTCAGCATGTGATATTGGGATTTTCTTAGGCAAGCACAACTGCACTGATGTTGCTTTCCTCCTGCTGCTCTCAGATAGTAACTAATGAGATTCTGTTCTTATATTTTTTATAAGAGAAAAGCCAACCCACTTGTCCACTAACAATGGTAAAGGAATAAAGGATTTATAAAACATGAAAACAAGACATTCACTGTATTTATTCGGAACCTGGATATAAAAGCACAATTGTGCTGTTTTCAATGCCTGAAAACCACTGGAGCCTGAACTTTTCTTTCTTCAGACCTTTCAAAACAGAATTTCCTTATGCTGAATTACACAGCTCTCCCATGACTGGGTGCAATTCTATCAGTTACAGGGCAGGATGAGGGACGAAATGTTGTGAGTAGTCTCCTTATTTATTAATTCAACTTCAGTAGGGAACGGTGTTGAGTCCCACTTTGATTCTACAGATGGGCCAATCAAGAGGACCTGTTCAGAGAGGTTCTGGACTTCCCATCCCTGGAAGTGTCCAGGACCAGGTTGGATGGGGTTTGGAGCAAAGTGGGATAGTGGAAGATGTCCCTGCCCATGGCAGGGAGTTGGAATGAGATGATCTTAAAACATCCCTTCCAACCCAAACCGTTTATTTTATGACTACAATTCCATGATACTATGACTTCCCTCAAGGTGATCTTCTAAAATATTCCCCCATGCTCTGTTTTCCCTTTACAAATACAGATTCTACCTCTCCTACTCAATCTTCTTCAGTTCACACTCATCACATTTAATATCATCCTTAAATATCTGTAACTGATTCAACTTCTTGTGAGCTGCTCTGCAGATCAAGGTGTGTGGATGTCCTGCATCACAACCTAACAGAGAAACACAAGGAAAAGGTTTCAATAAAGCAAAGGCCCCTGAGGAATGTGCTGTAAATATCCCTGTCCTCAGTCCAGCCCTGAGCCTTGAACTGTTGGTATCCCATGAATTTCTCACCAGCAACCTGAGGCTCTGGGAGAGCTGTTTTCCTCTCCAACAATTTGCAGTAGTGCAGCTCTGAGGCTGAGGGAGATTTTGTCCATCACTAGTGAGTATGTAATGAATAATTTATTGATTAAAGAGTAATTTAATTCTTTACCAAAGGAGAGCATTTAATTCTTTACCAAAACCTCTCCCTGGTGTAACACCAGCTCTAATGATCAGGCTTGTCTCTTGGGATACACAGAAATGGGAAGATCCCATCTTAGAGTGCTCTGAGCATGGGCCTCTTCAGCATTCTGGTGTTGAGAAAAGTGTTTTTGCCAAATTGGTCTACTCATTGCATTAAAATAGGAAGATGACACACAAATATTTTGATTTACTCCAGAGCAAATTTGGGATAACAAATTAAATACTGGAATGTTTCCAAGGGAGAAACAGAACCAAACCAAAACAAAATAAAAAAAATCTCTTGGCTCTGAATCAGAGTCCTCTGTCCTGCACATACCTCTGCATAATTTTACTGTCTTTTTCATGGGTAAACTAATTTTCCTTTGCTCAAAGTCTGAGACTGAGACTTGTGTTCAAATTTGGGTGTGCTCCTCCCCATTTTCAAAGCCCAGGAAGGTTTGGGTGTTGGTCAGGACATTCTGGGCAGAAAGTTCTATGGGATTGCTTGAAGACATTTCTCTGACTAGAGAGTCTCTTTGTCCTGTATTTACATATTTACAGCTGAAGTCCTTGAGAAAGCTGTTGTGTTGTCTGGCTTGCTGTGCAACACAAAAGTGCTGTGAACACCTTTTGGGACTCTGTAAATGACAGATAAATATTAATAATAATGTGGTTTAACAGCTGTTTTTTCTATCTTTTACTACCCTGTTTCCATGCAGTAAATCACAACACTCTAAAAATGATTGGAGCGAAGAGAAATTTTAAAAGGCGTTATCGATTAATATTTCGGCATGAAGAGCTGAGCAATTCTTGGCAAAGAATCTCCTGAATTTATTCACTCTAAATTGCATTCAGTGCCAGGAAAAGGTGACCAGCTGACATCACTGGAGGCAAAACTTGTGAGAAGCAGATCTTCACTAGGAAAATTATCTGGGCCTAATGGGACTTAGCAAAAAAAAAGCAAAAGGGAAGGTGTGGAAGTTTCTAGGTTTTAATCCCTCTAGAAGGCCATAATAAACTCAAGACACTCTGTAATCCCTAACCCAAACTCACAGCTGACTGCTGTGATAAGAATTTGGGTTTGGGTTTTTTGGGGGGTTTTGGTGATTTTTTTTGTGATTGAGTGAATAATTTATGCTTTTTAATAAGAAAGAAGTTAATGAAAGCAAGCAGAGAACCAGCACAGTGGGCAGGGGCAGTACAGGCTCTTGTAAACATTTCTGCAACACAGAAAGACAATGCCCAAGGATAAAATCACAGAATCATAGAATGGTTTGGTTTTGAAGGAACCTAAAAGATCATCTATTTCCAAAACTCCTGCCAAGATTTGGGACACTTCCCATTCTACCAGGTTGCTAAAACCATGATCCAATCTGGACTTGAAAAATTCCAGGGATGGGGCAGCTACAGCTTCTCTGGGCAGCTTGTTCCAGGCCCTCACCACCCCCCCAGGGAAGAATTTCTTCCTGATATCTGATCTACCACTCCTGGAAGTGTTTATGAAATGAGTGGCTCCAGCACATGAGGACATAGTTTAGCGGTGAACACGGTGGTGATGTTTGGTTGACAGCTGCAGCTGATGATGATTTCAGAGGTCTTTTCCAACCTTAACAATTCTGTGGTTCTATGAAAAGAAGTGTGAGACATATTCAGCAGCCTTAGGCTGTCTCTGTCTTGTGGGATGGGAAACTGCATCGTCCAGTGGCACAGAGAACACCTTGCAAATTCTGGGATTTGCAGAATGGAGCTCCCACTGCCTTAGCCCTTTCCTTACCAAACAGGCACTTCCAATTTACAGAAAAATACAGTTTGGCACAATGGTACACTATTTTATACGTTTTGAGCCAAATTGCCAAACAGAACACATGTGGTTTTTAAACAGGGATTAAATGTGGGGAAAACAGTGATCTTCAGATGAGCTTCTGAAGAGTGTCTCGTGTAAGTGGCAAAGTCAGGCTGGGAGGAGATGCCAAGCCAGCCTGCTCTTCCAAAAGCTGCAAGGAGGTGCATAACCTGAGCTAATAAACCCTTCCAAACATTTGTGGTGTTCCCATAGTAGTTCAGGTGCTCTGTATGTTCATGTATTTCCATGTAGTGCTGTATCACACCACGGGTGCATTTTCCTCATGACACAGTGAAAAGTTGGGAAGCCCAGTGGATCATTTATACAATTTTCAGGATTTCCAAAAATGCTCCAAAAAAACACTTTTGGAAATATTATCCCCAAAGGTCTGTGATGGAAAAAGACAGAGACCAACTCACATCCCACTTCATCCAAGGAACAGTTCAGCTGAGCAGCCCCTGTGCAAACATTTTCAAACATTGCGCTTGGAAAAGAAAAACACAATTTGGGAACATGAATGAATGAATGAGAATGGAAATTACACGGCTGCCTTGCAAAATAAGTGGAAAACAATGGAGTGAAAAATAAGTCGAGTAAGAGAGAGAGAGCAAGCACAGCGTTAATGATAAGGCAAACTTTTCCAGATGTGAAAATCAATTTTATTCCAAAACTTCCCAGCCTTTTCATTTACAAAGCAATAAAATTCTATTTGTCCCCCGTTCATTTGCTACAGAAAATGCCACTAAGCGACTTGCTCTCAGCAACCACACAAAACGTAATAGGTTAGGACTGCAGCCTTAAAATATATTAGGGTTTTTTAATGAAACCAATTTATATCAGTTTGTGCCAGTGAAAGGGCTGAAGCAACTTAATTTAGTTTCATTTTCCACACATTTGTGGCCAAAGCTGGGATTCACTTATTTCTAATTCAGCCCAGCTTCCACATGCCTGCCTAAGCCGTTTCTAACTGATTTAGCTGGTGACCTCTATTAAATAGCCAGGTGTTGGGTTCTATTAAATGGAAAATCTCTTGGTACCTACACATGGCCACGGCAGCCACCTCCTCATCTGTATGGTTTTGATTTGTGTGTGTGCTCAGTCAGAGGGCACAGGACTTTTTGCAAGTGAGGGGGAGAATTATAGCCATAAAATTGAAGATTCTTGCAGCTAAACCCTGTCTGTGTCAGCCCATGCTGCATGCAACGTCATTGTAATCCGAGATTTAAACATTACAAAAGCTCCAGACAAACAGATTTTCAGGGTTTGGTTCTCTAACAATTAAATAACTATTTTTCTTCCTTTTATTTTTATCTTTCCTTTCCTGGACACTGTTTCTTCAGTTTATAATATCACTGAATCACAGACTGGTCTGTTTGGAAGGGACCTTAGAGATCACCTAGTTCCAATCCTGCTGCCATGGAGGAATTGCAGCTAATTTAGATCAGTGTGATGTCAGTCAAAAAAGCTTTGTAGGAGGAGAATAAATCCTTTATTAGAGGGAGGAAATAACTGAGGCAAGAGGCAGAAAATTTTGAGGTACATGAGCCATTCTTCAGGCCACGCCAAGGTCTGTGCTTCTAAGAGAGTCGCTGGTTTTGCTTTTTCCCAGATAGATGGGTCAGTCTAATAAAAAAAATGTAATCTTCACTACAAATCTTGTTGTTTTATCTCAGAGCACCATAAATAAAGTCAGTCCATTTTTTCCACACTCTCTGTTGTAGTAATGGTGGACCATTTTGAAGCTTTACTCCAATTTTAAAATTTACTAAATTTTACTTCAAAATTTAGTAATTCAGAGAGCACTGACACTACCAAAGTTGTTTTTCTCGAGCCCTTTGTTGTGTAGGGTATTTCACATCTAGCAGGGAATGAACCTGCCCTATACCCATTCCCTGGTGGAGTTATTAAGAGTATTTCTCCTCTACCTGGGTAGAGGTTTTTCCAAAATTTTGTAGGAATGTAAAACTTAAAATTTCTGCTTTGGCCAACTTGATAGAAATCAGCTGAATGATTGTAAATTTAGATTGTAAATTTATGCAGAGCAGAGAGGACACACAGATGTAAAGACTCACAAATGGCACATGCTTGGAAATAACATGTCTGTAGACAAAGTGGAAAGGAGAAGAAGGGAGGAGTAAAAGTAAAAAGAACCATCCTGGTTTCTAAAAATTCAAATCCAAAGCCAAACTTGTTGACAAAAAAATTTGGAGAGAGGTCTTTCCATCTGACCTCACATCTTTGAAATCCTGCCTTAGCCACAGGGATTAAGGGATCCCTATCCAGTGAATTCTCTGGACCTGTAGACGGAGTTTCATTTCATGTTCAGTAGAAAACAGGAAAACAAACTCCTGTGGTCATTTCTCAAAGAGATGATGAAAGGCTGAACAGCTTCTTACCTCTCTCTGAGGATGTTTACTTTGCCATTATTCTCCAGAGAATTACAGTGGGACAACACAGTTAACTGTTATACAGGAAAAACATCCTGCCTCAGGTACCCTACAAATGGA